TCCCAAAACTCCCCCCGGGGGGGGTAGCCCATATCTCCCCCGGGGGAAGCCCCCGTCTACACCCCCCCCTTTTCCAATGCCCCTTTCACACCCAAGTTCCCAACTCCAGCATCCAGGACCCCACCTTTGGGGAGAACTTTCCCTGGGACCTTGGTTCCTCCAAAAGCAACCCCCAACCTCCCCCCCCCCCCCCGGGTTTGGGATTTTCAACCCCCTTGCAAGGGGCCGGGGCTGAGGAAAGACCCAGGGACATTGGCCCCTGGGGGTCCGCTTATACACGGGCCCCCCCGTGGGTTCTGGTTCCCGCCTCGTCCTGAGGGGCTCCCAGCCAGGGAGGGAGGCAGAGGTGAGAGGAGTCGCCCGCCCTCCCAACCTGACCCCCGCCCCCCCCCCGCCCCCCACCGCCGGCCTCGGCCTCCGAGGGCCCGCTCACCTGGCGGAGGAAGGTGATTGGCTGCTGGCCCATGGCCTGGGCGTCCCCGATGTTGGCACGGATGACCTCGGTGAACGGCTTCTTGATGCCCTGAGCGGACAGAAGGCCGCAGCTGGTTACGAGAGCCTCTCGGACGCTGGATTCCCGAGGCCGAAGCGAGGATCCCACGGACAGTTACCAGCAGCCCTATTCCAGCCTCACCAGGCACCGGGCACAGTGCCAAGCCCGGGACCCGCCTGGTCCCACTGAACGGGCACCACCAGCCCATGAGGGAGAATTAGCATTAACCTCACTTTACGATGTGGACACGGAGGCTTCAAAGGCTGCAGACACGTCCCCGAGGTCACGTAACAGTAAACACAGCCCTGGGGTTTGCAGCCAGACCCACGAGCATTCTTCTTAACCACACGCTCGCCATCCCGCCTCCCCCCCGCCCTCCCAATAGGCCACAAGAATCATCCTGTCCTGCCAGGGCCCCCAGGACGCAGCTGCAGGCCACAGCCCAGGGCGGCCTCCGAGCCAGGTCTGAATGAGGGAGGCCAAGGTCAGGGAGAGGACCCCGCAGCCCCTGCTCCCACCCCCAGGGCAGCCCCAGTAACAGGCCGGGGACTGCGGCCGCCCCTCCCAGAAGACGCCCGTCAGCAGGGAGCGCTCAGGGTCATTCCCTGGCAACCTTGGCTTTGCAGAATGAACGTGGGCTGATTTTCACATCAGAAAAACAAAAAACATCGGGGAAGAAGAGACTGGCTGAGGAGCAAAATCAAGGCCAAGGCCAGAGCACAGAAAACAGATCCCAGAGAGCGGAGGAGCCCGCCGGCCGCTCAGGGGTTGGGCAACGACCTGTGAGCCAGGAGGTTGAGGTTCAATTCCCGGTCAGGGCACAGGCCCGGGTTCTGGGCTCGATCCCCAGTGCGGGGCGTGCAGGAGGCAGCCGCTCCATGATTCTCTCTCATCATTGATGCTTCCATCTCTCCCTTCCTCTCTGAAATCAATAAAAACATATTTTTCTAAAAAGAGAGCGAAGGAATCAGAGGCCCCGGTGAGGACACCACGGGGCTGACAAGCACACGGGGTCTGGACGGAGGGCAGCGGGGACCTGGAACCATGGGGTGCCGCCCTGCTGCCTGGCACTCCGCTCAGCCTGGGAGAGTGAGAAGCAGCAACAGGTTCAAGGCCCTCCCGGGGCAGCTGCAACGATCATCTGAGACAAACAGCGCCCGGACCTCATCATCTCACAAAGCTGCCAGGAGCGAGGTCGCCAGGCCCCGGTGGAGGGAGAAGGCCGCGGGGCAAGGCGGTGGCGGTGCTCAGGGGTGACCGGGTGGGAGGCCTGAGGCACCCGCAATACACACGCTAAAGGTAGGAGGCGATCACTTTAACACTGGCCTTTCTCCCACTTCTCACCATGTGTGAACAAAAGCAACTCGAGGAAACTTTCCCCTTAAAAAAAAAATTTTTTTTTTTTTATTGATTTCAGAGAGGAAGGGAGAGGGAGAGAGAGATAAAAACATCCACGATGAGAGGGAGTCATGGATCGGCTGCCTCCTGCACGCCCCCCACTGGGGATGGAGCCCGCAATCTGGCCATGTGCCCTGACCGGGAATCGAACCCTGACCTCCTGGTTCATAGGTGGATGCTCAACCACGGAGCCACACTGGCCGGGCAAAACTTTCCCTTTTTTAATCAGTAATATACACCTTACGTAAAAAACAGTGGGCTTACGGCAGTGGTCGGCAAACTCATTGGTCAACAGAGCCAAATATCAACAGTACAACGATTGAAATTTCTTTTGAGAGCCAAATTTTTTAAACTTAAACTATATAGGTAGGTACATTGTTATTAACTAGGGTACTCCTAAGGCTTAGGAAGAGCCACACTCAAGGGGCCAAAGAGCCGCATGTGGCTCGAGAGCCGCAGTTTGCCGACCACGGGCTTACAGGATGAAAGCAGCTGCCAATCAAGTGTTCCCGGCCTTCCTTTCCACCCCTCAGTCCCTCCCCCATAGAAATTCTCCAGGGGCTTCTGGAGGAGGGCACCCCAGAAATGACCTCCGCAAGCAGGGCCTGACACGTCTCCAAAAGCCATGTTTCTGGGGGGAAGGGGCCTCGTCATCCCCTGGTGCCCTTCCGCCGAGTCCCCGGGGCTGGCCAACGCGGAGGCTGTCCCGGGGGCACGGAGAAGGAGGCACAGTGTCCCGAAGGCCAGCGGGGCGTGGCGCTGCCCCTGCTCCGGGACTGGGCCACGGCACTGGGCCACGGCACTGGGCCACGGGTGAGAGGAGGCGCCCGGAGACCGGCCGCCGGCCTGCGGCCTCAGGGCTCATCTCGTAAGCGCAGGCGGGAGCCAAGAAGGCTGGGACAGGAGTGGCCGAGGCCACGGTGCAAAGGGACAGGCTGACACACCTCCAGGCGCAGGCCGGGGCTCCTGGCACGGCCCCTCTGTCAGCGGCTGAATCGTCCGGCCCCTGAACGCAGGTGATCCCCATGGCGTGGGCACGGCCCCTTCTTCCGCAGGGAGTCACGTTCTGGGCCGGGAACCAGCACAGCTGTGGGCGCTCGGCCCAGGCCGTGCGGGAGAATAATGCCTGGAACCGGGCCTGGGCCTGGGCCTGCGCCGGCCTTGCCCTCCCCAGCACGGCTCAGCCAACCAGGGCCTGGGAACACCGGGCACCTCCTTTCTCGGGCCCGGGGGCTACGATGGATGGGGGTGGGGGTGGGGGTGGGAGCCAGCCTGCCCAGCCAAGGGCCGCCATACAGGACACCGTTCTGGGCTGGCTCCGGCCCACACTGCCTCATCCAGGCCTGGCGGGCACACCAAGGCCTCCGCCTCGCCCGCCCCCGGGACTGGCCAGGCCAGCAGGTAGCATCCCTGCCCCTCGAGCCCCCCTGTGTCACCACCTGCACCCACCCTGCCCGGCTGCCTCGCTGTGGACACTCAGGTGAGTTCTACCCACGGGGCTCCCTTCCCACCCTTCGGCCTGAGCAGCGATGGGGAGCAGGCGGCCGGCGGCTTGCACCGAGTGTCGGTGGGGAGGAGTTAAACAGCGTCACCTTGAGGGTCAAGGGGACGGTGTTGAGTCCTACAGGACACATTTCTTTCTTTTCTTTATTTTTTGTGAATCCTCACCTGAGGGTATTTTTCCATTGGTTTTTAGAAAGGGCGGAAGAGAGGGAGGGAGACAGAGAGAAACATTGATGTGAGAGAGACACGTCAATTACAGTGGGGCCTTGACTTACCAGTGTCCCGACTAACGAGTTTTTTGAGATACCAGCTGTCTCTGGGCCGATTTTTTGCATTGAGTTGATAGAGTAATTTGAGTTAACGAGCTCCTTAAAGAGCTCGGTCTCTGACCGAATTAAACTCGTAAGTCAAGGCCCCACTGTAGTTGCCTCCCACATGTGCCCCAACTGGGACGGGGGACTGAGCCTGGAATTGAACCCAGGACCCTTCAGTCCACAGGCCAACGCTCTGTCCACTGAGCCAAACCGGCCGGGGCCAAATTTCCTTCTTTTAAAGTCGCCGCTAACCGGGAAGGAAATGACCCATCAATTTCACCACCTGTGCTGGCCCCCGGCTTCCAGCCTCGGTTCTCAGCTGCTGCAGGCACAGCCCGGGGGCCTCTGAGGTTTACCTGTTACACACCCTGATGTCGCCAGCACTGACCGCTCTTCCCTCTGACCAGGGATGTTCTGCCCCAGCTGGGACTTAACAAACAACCCCCCCCCCCCGCCCCCCACGCCCAATACAAAGCCGGAAGGACAGGAAGGCAAGGGACGGAGAGGAGGCTGAGGAAGGGCTGCCGGATCTTCAAACATCGCTGCCGGCAGCTTTTTTTTAAGTGCTGCTCCCAGTGAACACGGAACAAACAAATGCCCCGCTCCCCACGCCCAACACAAAGCCGGAAGGACAGGAAGGCGAGGGACAGACGGAGAAGGAGGCTGAGGAAGGGCCGAGAGCTTCAAACTCCGCTCCCTGCAGCTGTTTTTAAAGTGCGGCTCCCAGTGAACACGGACCGAGACGCCGACGGGTCCTTCCCTCGGAGGTACCGCCAGGAGAAGGAGAAACAGCCCCACAAGGACGGGCAGGAGGAGGATGCTCGCTTCCACCCGCACCGCACTGCCCTCCCCCCTCGGCCCCCTGAGCGTGCCCCGTGCCCACCGCAGAAGCGGGAAGGCGGGGACTCGCCAGGGGAGCCACCCCAACGCCAGCACCGGCCCCGCGTGCAGCCAGCGGCCTCACTGTGTGCAGAGCACCTGGAGACGGAGGGGTGCAGAGGCCTCAGCAGACAAAGCTGTGAGGCTCACCCCAGTCACCCTCCTCCCTACACATCCTTGCCCACCCCGTCTAGAACCAAGGGGAACGGCTTATAACAAGTCCAGCGTTCATCACTACAGTTCAAAGCAGAGCTGGAGAAACCAAAGCAGGGCCAAGCCAAACCAAAAAAAAAAAAGGCGGGGGAATCCAGGGCGCTCTCAGAGGGGCGCCGCTGAAGCCGGCACAGTGCAGAGGCTGTCTCCGGAACGAGGGGTTGGGGGGGCTGTGCTCGCCTGGCCAGGCTCTCTCGCCAGCGCCAAGAGCCAGGCGCCTGGGACCCAACAAAGGAGAAGGGACGGGCCAGCGAGGGCACTAGAAGCTGTAGGTGGACAGAGAGAACGGCTCAGTTCACGCAGAGGTAGGGCGTGAGGTGTGGGGCGTCTGTCCCAGAAATCATAGCGTGTTTCTGGCTCCAGTGACCAAGAGATGTGTTCACCTGCAACCATCGCGCCTTACCCTACGGGAAACCCTTCCCGGTCCCACCTTCACCCCCAAACTTGGCACCTTAGAAGCCTGAGCCCAGCACACACGTGTCTCGCCCATCTCGTCTCCCTCTGCCCAGCAACTCTCCAAACAGCACCAGCCCCTCTCCAAGTGCCCAGACCACCCCACCTCCTCCAGGCTTTGCTCACAGCCTCTGTCTGCTGAGAAGTCCCCCTGACCCTTTAAGAACTGGGGGAGGGGGCTGATCCCAGAGGACAGAGCGGCTGGCGGTCTGGAGGCAAAGGTAGCGTCCCTTCCTGTCCCAACCGCCCTGGGGCACTAACACTTCCTTCTAGGAGCCTACACCCAAGTTGGTATTTAGCAAAATGCAGAGATAACCCCTGACCCCAGCCAGCTCTGGAGCCAGAGAAATCAGCTGGGAAGTGATAAACCTTGAACAACGTAACCTCAGCTGTGTGGTGACAGGGAGATGGTTATCACTCCAGCGTGCCAGGTACCAGCAAGGGGCAGGGCAGCCAGCCGTAACCTGCGTGCCCCGCCCGGCCCACGCCTGGTCCACCTCCGGGCCAGGGAGGCCAGAAACCAGACCTGCCAGCCTTCGCACCAGCTTCAAACTTGGCCCTGCAGGCAGCCAGAGGGAGTCGCTGACGCTGGCTTGTCCAGCTCACGGTTTTGCGTCAGCAGAACTGGGTGTCCTGAGCAAGGTGTCTGCAGGCTAGGAGCTTCATCCAGCCCCCAAAGGGCCGGCGCGGGGAATGGGGACCCAGCGTCGCGCCCGCCACAGCCTCCTGCCTGGGGACACCTAGTGATCCGCTGCCTCTGAGAGCAACATCCAGGAACCTTCCCACCCCCATTCTGGGTCAAACCATCTTGTTCAACTCTCTTCAACTCTTTCCTACAAACCGTGGCGCGTTTACCCTTCGACATGCCCCTCCAACGCCCCCTCACCAAGTCCACCCAGGATTGAAGTCCTACAGGACACCGGCCAGCTGGCCTGTCCCGGGGCAGAAAATGACTCCTGGGCGCGTGGTCACTTGACACGCAGCTGTGAACTAAGCCAAGATCCCAGCCAGCTGGCCCCCAAGACGAAGGAAGTCCCTACCAAGCCCCAAAGGCCCATCTCCGACTCCCCGACAACTCACTGGGGGGTGGCTGTGTCCTCAGACAAGAACAAACTGTGGCTGCAGATCAAGGTCCCAGAGGGGGCCTCGGCGGGGAACTAACTAGGCAGGGCCCCCTCCGGCCCCTGCTCTTGTCAGGGACTCACTACGGAAGGACCCAGAAGGTCTCAGACATGGAGAGAGCAGGCTCGGAGCACAGCCCTCTCCTCCTCCCTAGCGACCGCCTTCCCACCCCCACCTCCCAGCACCCCATCGCGGCCCCTCCGCTGCGCTTTCTCCAAAGGACGCATTCAGGCTCCGCACCTCTGACCTCGCCCCTGCTGGTTGTTGTCTCTCTGCCCCCGCCCCCCAAGGATCTGGATTCCAGGCGAGGAAGGCAGCCCCCTAACTTGCAGCGCCAGGCATAACGCGGCTCAACAAGTGACCCGCCTCCGAGGGGCCTGACTGTGCCGAGTGCGGGCACTGGTGGGTGAAGGGGTGGGAGGAGGGCATTGTCTTGTTCAAGTCAAGCCTGGCCGAAAGCCGAGCCGCCGCGGGGAAGGGAGGGAGTCGGGCGCGCGGGCCCGGCGGAGGGACAGCTGCTCGCGCCCCATCGCGCCCCCCAGCTCCGCGCCCCCATCGCGCCCCGCGCCCGCGCTCACCTTCTGCAGCTCCAGCTCGATCTCGCCCGCCTTGAGCACGATGGGTCCCCGCACCGGGTACTCCACCGCCTTCACCCGCGGTTCATGGACTCGAGCGTCAGGATGCGCTCGCGCGGGCTCCGCTCGGGCCGCACTTGGAGCACCGCCGGGGCCTCGGCGGCCGCGCTGCTCAGACATCGGCCCCAGGGGCCCGGGGTCCGGGGGCAGCAGCCCCGCCGGACCAACGCCGCCGCTCGCTGCATCGCGCACCCGCACGGAGAAACCTTGGCACAAAACAAAAAAGGAAAAAACACGTCGCTCACAGCCCATGGCGGGCACCCAGGCGCCGGCCCCCAAGCCCGGCCAAGCGATCGGGCTCGGGGAGCGTGTGCCCATCCCCCGGCGATCGGACCCTCCACGCGCCACCGCGGAGCCAAAGCGCCGCACAACCGGGGACTGCAAAGGCTGTGCCCGGTGCATGCATGCAACGTGCCTGTCGCCGCCTGGCACCCCTCGCCGGCCGGCCCCGCTAGCGCGCGAGTCTCCAGCTGCTCTCAGGCTCTGGCGTCCGCTCCCGCATCCCAGCGCCAGGCGTCCGCACCGCCAGGTCCCCCGCGCTCGCACACCCACAGCCCGCGGGTCCGCCCCGGGCTTCCCGCTGCCCCCTGGGTTTTGTAGTTCTCCAGGGTGTTTCTGGAGCACGTGTGGAGGGCTGGCTGAACTACAAGTCCCATAGTGCACCGCGCTGGTCTGTCTGATGAGGGCGGGACGGAGGCGGGCGCTGGAGTCTGGCTCAATCCCGGGCTGAGCGGGCGGGAGTCGGGGTCTGGCTCGGCCCCCGCTGGGGCCTAGCAGGGGCTCGGCGCGTCCCAAACTTCTGTGAATGTAAAGCTGTTTGCAGATTCTCCCTGGAGGCGCCTCTCCCCCAAATCCCAGACCCCTGCAAGGACGCCCGCTGAAAGGTGGTGCAGCCCTGCACCGGGGTTTCATCACCCAGGTGGCAGCGGCTGGTGGGAAGTGGTGGGTAGGAGTTCGGGACTGGACTGCCTGCCACTCTCACCCCTTCTGAACGTGGGGTTCCTTGTTGGTGAAACGGAGATGTGCCCACAGCCTGTAAGGGTGGGTGGGACCGGCACCTGGCATAGCACGTGGTCGGGCTTCTGGCCCCTCCGTCGGAGCTCTCCCCCGCCTCCATGACCCCTTTTTATCTCCTTCCAAGCATCGGACATGATCTTGCTCAGATACTTTTTGCTGGTTTACGGTCCTCCTCCATGGAAGCTCCAGATTGGCTGGGGCAGCGCGTTTCCTGGTATGACCGCCCCTCTCAGGGTTTCCAGCACGTAGTAGCCGCTCTAAATGTTGGCTGCAGAATGAATGCTTAACACAGGGTGGATTATTTTTACATTGATTTCAGAGAGGGAGAGAGGGATAGAAACATCAGTGATGAGGATCATTGATCCATTGATTGGCTGCCTCCTGCACGCTCCACACTGGGGATCTGAGCGAGCCCACAACCCGGGCATGTGCTCTGATCGGGAATCAAACGGTGACCTCCTGGTTGATACTCAACCACTGAGCCACGTGGGCCTGGGGGTGGCTGTTGTTTTTGGCAAAGGCCCCCCAGGTAAAGGCTCCCTGGCTCACCGGAGCCCGTGCAGAGCCGGAGACACCGGGTCTGAGAAACCCAATCCCCAGCGAGGATGTGGGAGAACTCGCTTACCTGCCTGAGCCTCAGCTTCTCTACCCGCAAGTAGATTGCACAAGTGACCTTCAGGCCCTTTCCCCTCGGGAAATTCTGTGCCTACACCAGCTCCTGCCCAGCCTCCTCTCAAAGGCCAGCCTCCAGGTGACTGGGGGAGCTTAGCTTTTCTAAGAACTCCACAGCCATCCATGTCATGTTCTCACCCGCTCTGCCCACGTAGGGAGACGCACATCCAGACACTCCCCGCCACCTCCACCTCCAAAACACACGTAACCTTGGCCTGCAAATGACCAAAGCGCAGGCCCTCACTGCTCGCCCGAGGGTGAGTGCACTTCCTGCTGCCCTACCCCCAGCAGAAGGGACAAGGGAGCCGGGAGGCAGGCGGGCTCAGGTGGGGGAGTACACATTCATTTGCACAACTGTGTTCACCAACGTGCAGCACACAGCCCGTGACAGCGGCTCCCACGTCATCACTGTAGGACACAAGTTGGTGTCCCCAAAATGTCCTTCGCCCACCGGTCATGGGCGCAGGAGAAGAGCGCTCCCTTGCCTTCTTGTGAGCCACACCTGCCAATCGGCAAAGCACGGTCTGGCCTCTCCCTGCATGTGAACCTGGCAGACCTCAGTGAGGAAGAAAAGGCAGGCACGGTCCCCATCTTACAGGCGAGGCTCTAAGAGGGTGAGCGACTTGTTGGGGTGGCACCGTTAAGTGTAGAGCAGGGACCGTGATTCCTGGCCCAGGGCTGCAGCCCCTACACACAGGGACCAGGCTCCCTGGGGTGGACATTTGGGTTACCGGTTGCCATGCACTGAGCCCTTAAAGGCTTGGGGGTGGTAGCTGTGGGGATGGATGGGGCAATAGTGTGATCTTTGTCCTGTTTTTGCCCTCCAGAGCAGGTAGGGGTGGGGCAGGAGGAGGCTCCTAAATATATACATATATTTTTAAATATATCTTTATTGATGTTAGAGAGGAATGGAGGTAGAGAGTGAGAGACAAACATCAATGATAGAATCATGGCCCTAACCGGTTTGGCTCAGTGGATAGAGCATCGGCCTGCAGACTCAAGGGTCCCGGGTTCGATTCCGGTCAAGGGCATGTACATTGGTTGCGGGCACATCCCCAGCGGGGAGTGTGCATGAGGCAGCTGATCGATGTTTCTCTCTCATCGATGTTTCTAACTCTCTATCCCTCTCCCTTCCTCTCTGTAAAAATCATAAATATATTTAAAAAAAATGATAGAATCATGGATCGGCTGCCTCCTGCACGCCTCACCCCGGGGATTGAGCCTGCAACCCGGGCATGTGCCCTGACTTGAATCAAACTGTGACCTCCTGGTTCTGAGGCCAACGCTCAACCACTGCGCCACGCCGGCCGGGTGAGGCTCCTCAGTAGGAAAGATGACACCTGATCGGAAGGATCCTGAGTTTCCTCCCTGGGAATGGAATGAGCCTCAAACACACAGCCAGCTCCCGAGGCTCCTGCAGCTCGGAGAGTCCCGTGTCCGCAAGGACTGCGCTCTGCGCTCCGGAACACACTGTCACTGGGCTGTTTAGGGGCTGCGGTGAGTCAGGAAGACGGCCCCTCCCTGCACAGAGGGTAGAGTTTCTTAGGGCCAACAGGTATCAATTAGATAATCGCACCCATGACCGGTCATTCCTGTGATAACTGCTGGGAGGAGAGGAAGCGAGTTTTATGGCAGCTCAGAGCCCAGAGTCTGAGCAAAGGTTTCCCTTAGGAAGTGTCAGCGGTGAGGCTGCCCTGAGGCCTGGCAGGGGGTGTGGGCAGCAGCACATCAGGGCCTGTGCCCTCCCCAGTCAGGGGAGAGCTTGCCTCCATCCAGGGTGGTGCAGTCGGCATTCGGCCTCTGCCGGCCAGTGCCACCTCCCCTGCACGGGGCCACCTCCCCTGCACGGGGCCACCTCCCCTGCACGGGGCCACCCTTCCTGAGGTCGCCATCATGCCCGAGGTGGAGAAGTCTGCTCAGTGCTGAGCGAGACTTGGGACTTGGCCTAGTCAGTTTGCTCACTGGCTAGAGCATCAGCCTGTGGACTCAAGAGTCTCAGGTTCGATTCCCATCAAGGGCACATAGCTCTACTGCTACCATTTGATGTGTTTCTCTCTCTCTGTCTCTTCCCCTCCCCTCCACTCTCTCTAAAAATCAATGGAAAAATATCCTCGGGCGAGGATTAGAAAATAAGTAAATAAAATAAAGCCCCCGCTTTAAAAAGAAAAGACTCCGGACCTGTTAGCGCAGCCTTTGCCCCAAGGCTTCCCAGAAGGCTGGCCCGGCTCGGGCTGGCCCGCCTCACATTCTGCCCCTGCCCCATCCTGCTTCCTCCCACCTCCTCCCACGGGACTGGTTCCCTAGGGTCCAGCTTGCACCCCACGCTCCATCTCGCTCAGCGGTGAGGCGGACAGCACCCCAGGCCAGGGAGCACCGAAGGCCTGGGGTCTGAGGAGCTCAGGGAAGGCGGTAGGGTGCCTGCGGGGCAGACAGAGAGGGAGGGGCAGGTCAGAGGTGAGCGGTGTTGAGACAGGCAGGTTGGGGTCCTGAAGGCAAGAATTTTGGTCTTGCCCTGGCCGGGTTGCTCAGTGGTTGGAGCTTTGTCTCCCATACACCAAACGGTGATGGGTTCGATTCCTGGTGTGGGCTCACACCCAGTTTGTGGGTTCAATCCCCGTCAGGGTGCATACGGGAGGCAACCAATGGATGCTTCTCTCTCACATCCATGTTTCTCTCTCCCCCCACTTCCTCTCTGTCTAAAACCAGCGGTTCTCAACCTGTGAGTCGCGACCCCTTTGGCGGTCGAACGACCCTTTCACAGGGGTCACCTAAGACCATCCTGCATATCAGATATTTACATGACGATTCATCACAGTAGCAACATGACAGTGATGAAGTAGCAACGAAAATAATGTTATGGTTGGGTCACAACATGAGGAACTGTATTTAAAGGGCCAGAAGGTTGAGAACCGCTGGTCAAAGCCAATAAAAACATCACCTTGGGTGTCTGGCCAGACTGTCAGGGAGGAAAGAGCCAGGAGAGCTCAGGAAGCGCAGTGTCACATTTGTTCCCAGGGCCCAGCCAGGCCCAGGCCCCGCACCTGAGCCTGGGAGAAGGTGGGTCCCAGGAAGCAAGCGACCCCCTTTGTGAATTCCATACCGAGAGGCAGAAACACGCCAACACGCCTGTCCTTTGAGGGCTCCCCGGCTCCCTAAACAGGAACGCTCACCCCCAGCTAAGGTTATGCAGTTGCACGACTTGCCATTGAACCCTCACTATTTTAAAGTTCATTGTTAGTTATGTGAATAATTTACAAATGTGCTCCTTTCTGAGATGAACATAGAAAAGGCTAAAGTCCTCCCTGGCCAGCCGCTCTCCCGGCCATTTTCCGACGCCTGGCTGGCTTCGCCCCGTCTCCCGCCACCGTCCGGCTCGTGACCCCCTTCCCTGCTGAGGGAGCGCTTCAAGTCTCTTGCACATTAGCCAGCGTGGGCCCTGGCCAGTGTGGTTCAGTGGGTTGAGCGTTGTCCCGAGAGGCTGCTGGGTCAGTCCCTGGACCAGACAATCCACGTGCCTGGGTTTCGGGCGCGAGTCCTGGAATAGGCTGTTAACCTCCAGGAAGCTGACCTCCTGTGTCTGCTGTAAAGTGCTCTGCAGTTTGTCAGCCCTGGGCCTTGTTTCCCCATTCCACTTGTCAAGGCCTCTTCCTAGCCTCCTGCGGGCCTCGCTTCCTCATCTGAAAAGTGGGGGATGGTAGCACCCCCATAAAGTTGTTGTGACAGCAAGTTGATTCAATGTGCACAAAACACGGTGCCTGGTGTGGGCAAGGCCTAGGTACGTCTCTGTCATTCTTGAAAGGGGTAGGTCCTGAGCAGAGGCTAGGGCACGGGCGCCCACAGTCAGCGTA